GAGAAGAGCAGATGATCATCCCTGCCCATGCGTTGTCTGACGTGGGCTGCTTCAGACTGCTCGGGTCGCTCAGGACCCGGGATCGCGTGGGGCACAAGGCCAACGCTGAGCCGACCTGTTCGGCAAAACACGATGCTTAGCAGCGTCCGACGTATAAATTCTTTGATCCAATCTAAGGTTGAAATCAATCTTAGATGAGCCTGTGAGATCTAAGAGAAAAAATAACATCTACTCGTAAATTATTCGATGGCAGACGTAACGATCTGAAGAGAAATCGACAACGGATGTTGTCATGCATGCGTGGGTCACCCAGATCTCCTAGTCATGAGAATTATTTTTCCTAGTCTCTACTCCTAATGAAGCAGTTGGTAGTTTCCGCCGGTCAATTTTCGTCCCATCATTTTTGTTTGATTTTTTTTCATAGGTTAAGCTTCTTACTTCGTAGGTTATTTTGGTTCCGTCCACCACCTCCCCTCCGCTGGTTTTTCCGTCGCGACAGAACCAATCCCTCGCTAGCCCTACCTCATCTCCCGTCTCCAGTCGCAGCCGCCGCCGCACCCCAACCCAACCCCGCCGCCGGCGATCTCCTCGCCCCCCTGCGCCGCCGCCCCCAACCTTCTATTCCTCTCCCAAGGGAAGGGAAGGCAAGGGAAGGGAAGGCAAGGGAGAGGGAGTGCCCAGATCCACGGCGGCATCAGCGCGCTGTCGTCGACCTAATCCGCGTCCGTCCTCGAGGGAGGTCGGCCATGGAGGTCCGACGCGGCCCGGCAGCAGCCATGGACGGACGGAGACGCCCCAAACCCTACCCGGGACGACGCCTCAACCTTCAAGGACGCGCGTCGGCGACCGCAGATCTCCGGTGACGGCTATGTTGAGTGTGTACCTGCGGACGTTCTTCCTCGCATTCATCATCTCCCCCTGCTCATGATTCCTTCCTTGGTTTCTTTTCTTTTGTGTGCAGGATGACTGCCCCGGATCTGGACGCACAACCTGCAGCTGCAGCAGCAGTTGGACGACCGAACGCACGAGCCCTCCCTCCCTCCCTCATGGCTCTGCTTCCTCCTACCCTGCCCCCCTCACGTGGGTGTGGTGAGCTTCCTACCCCCTGTGCACATCTCATCTAATCTCATCAAATCTAGATTTCTCTGGACGTATTTATTGTTCTGGACACAACTTGGTTCTCTTTAGTTTGATGTCACTCCTTTCCTGCCGGAGTGAGTCAGTCAAATACTCCTACTAGCAGTATAAGATGTTTGCTGACTTTGAAAAATGATAGATAGTAAAAAAACGCTAATGAGGTTGTGCAGCGGCGGACGTATGACTGCTACCTGCACAAGCGGATGGCCCTGCGAGCCAGACCAACCTCCAGCTGCTGTGGCGTACCACGGGTAGATTTATCCCAACGAGGTATGCATGTGCACAATCATCATCTGAAACATATTGATGCAAATGCTTGGTGCTGCGTGCATGCATATATACATCTAAACAGAATTACGGTGGGATGCAGGAAACAAGGAGCCCAAAAATTAAATTAAAACAAATCGACGCCAATAGCGATGGGGGTGAGTAAGCTATTCATATTTCTTTTCGTCTGTGGATGCATTGATGGTTTGTATTTCACATTTTGTTTTATTATTATTGTTATATACATTACGGTCTTGTTTCTTGTGGTCATACACATTAACTTTGCAGTCACGTCTTCACATCACATTTGACCTGCAGCAATTGGTTGTGTGTGCAATGTACATGTCTAAATTTTGTTTAGGTGGATGTCACGCATGCTTTAGTTGTATAATCCCTAAGGTTATTGCTTGATTGTCAGCTTCCAGGTATAATGACTTTTCTGTGGTATAACCCTTCATATTATTACCCGCAAAAAAACCCTTCATATTATTAGTTGACCGTTTACATGTTTGAATTACCTTTACCGTCACGCTAAAGCCTAAAAGGTAGTCAGGTAGAGAGTCTCAAGTCACCATTCGATCAAAAACTATTTAGTAAGTTGTTGTTCTCTAATTTCTCAGCGAATGAGCACAAATTCAGAAGGGTACGTACACAAAAGAGCCCATGTACAAAGTCTCTACTCTTTTACCAGGCTATCCACCATCTACACAGCAGGATTCACAAAGCCATGTGGATGCTACCAAAGTGATAAAATTTGGATGTTTTTGGAAATATAGCATCACAGGCCCAGTAAGGGGAAAAAGCCAACATCATGAAGAATGCATTAGGTTAATGATTTTACCTTGGGGTTATAATCTGCATTACGTGCCTAGAGAGCTATTTGCTTTTAAGTCCAATTTACAATCCAGGCGCTGACCGTCGACACAATATTCTTGTCATCAAATCAGACATCAGAAAGCAGAGTACACCCAGGAGAAATCAGACTAGGAAATAGCTCTGGCTCATACCGTCAAGTAACCATATAAAATATCATTTCCAACACAAGGAAAGAGATAAGTTCTGGGAAAGAAAGAATAAAAATATCATACATGATAAAATAGTGCTGAGAGAACAGATTTCAACTTAGTAACTTACACTTCAGAAAGCGTCGTGAAAATATGTGAGACCCTCAAGCTTGATAGCTTCTTGATGTAATGGTTCTTTGTGTTTGTCCTTCCATTCAAGACAAATATACCTGGTCAAAAACCTAATGGTTGAAAAACATATGTACTGATCAATTAGTGAAACAAAGTTGTATCACTGATGCTGTGTTTTTCATTGAAGCAAAGTATGACAATGTACTAATCTAATAGTGCAGATGTAGATTATCTCGCCTAACCTGATCGCATGCTTCAAAGTTAGATTTTGGCCCAGTATATATTTAATGTGTACAGTTCACAGAAATAATAATGGTTTATTTTATTTCGTTACAAGCGCCGACAGACCATGACGCTTGAAGATATGGAGGCGACAAATCTGTGCCTATCCCCTCTTGGTGATAACTCTAGCCGAGCCCCTCTTGGTGACATTCCTAATCTTGAGCATCCTTCCCAAATGACTCCAGTGCCCGTGCCAGGTAATTGCGAGCATAATTTTTTGTTGTTGATCGCATTGGGGCATACATATAGTTGATACGGCTTTTCTACTGTTAAATTCTTGCTGCAGAAATACAAAAATTATATACAAATCAGAACGAACATCACAACATGTTCTTAAACACAATGGTGTTAGCACACAAAAATCTAGCTAACAACAGGAACTACGGTTTTAACCCAGGCTATTAACTAAGGTAAGGGAGAGAATTTAACTGGAAATTACCTCTTGGTGCAAAGTACATGTGCTTTCAAGAGGAGCCAACGATGCGGCCAACCATGCTTAAAATGATACACAGTGCAAATCCCACGCCTCTGGATTCCTCTTACTTCATCAGCTCACTTGAGTAATGCCCTGCTTGTTTAGCAAATAAATTTTAGTTGTGTCTGGAAGATGATACATAGCTGTCTATTATATCATGAAGAGCATGGCTCCAATGTATTTCAGGTACTTATGTCTAGCTTCAACAGATGGCCTCTCTAATACTTCTGAATCTTTCTTTTTCCGGATAATGCATCTGTATGTCTGCATTCATATGCTTATGTATATCCTTGAATCCATTTTAGTCAAACATTGCGATCAATAGCTCACAAGGAAAAAGAACATTGTACAGTAGAAGAGGCATATGTGAATACATTGCGCAAATAACTGATACCAGTTTTCTGAACTAGCCTGGTGGTACTTCAGAACAACATTGTATTCTCCAAAAATATGAAGGCATGAAAAGAAGTATTCTACACTTTGGAAATTCAGAGGTTAATTGGCTACATTGGTGCAATACCTATCGGCCTGGGGTGGCCTATCATGGAGATCGACGAGGCAGCAGTGCGACTGTGCTCAGCGCAGTTTGAGTGGGGTAGAAGACAGGGGTCGACGACAAGGGCGCCGTGGTCTTCCCACCCACATCCGGATGGTACAGCTACGTGGCCGGCATGTACGGAGAGCCGTGAGCCCTTCTGCAACTACCATCTGGTTCTGGCTGCCCAGGATGCCAGACCGGCGGGCGCGCGGGATTGGCGTCGACACGGCGGCGTGAGATGTTGACGGGGAGAGAAGGAGGCCGGCGACGCCGTCGCAGGGAGAGGATTGTGCGGGCGGAGCTGTGGCGTGGAGGAGAGATGGCGGGGCAACGCCCTGGCGGGGAGAGGAAGGGTCGGGCGACGCCGTCGATGGGAGGGGCGCCATCGACTGGAGTGGCTATGAGGGGGAGAGAGTGAGAGGAACTAGCCGATGTCCTGTGCATCGAGGATAAGCATGCTTTTTTAGGGGATAAGACTTTTTTTAGGAGGGGGCAAGGCTGTGTGGGTGGAAAAAATAGTTCGTTGTTCCACTCTTGTTTATATATGTTTAATATTAATATATAAAATATTTTTATACAAAAACGCAAAAAATCTAAACACAGGAATTTTGCAATAGATCCGAACGGATCCTTTGCCATCGGATCTGAATCCTATGTTGGTTGTACGTCCGCTCGAACTGCCTTTTTATTCCTTGTTTGCTTATGTCCCCACTAATCCAGTGATCGCCCACACTCCCGCCAAATCCCTTGATTGCCCGCACTCCTGATTTTTTAATGATTGATGGCGGAAAACAAAGGTGGGGATTGAGAAAAATATGTCGCGAACAAGGGTAATAGTACCCACGATCCATCAGACTGCAATTGGAGGGCACAACCATCTCAGCCAACTTAACTTTCAGTTTGTTCACCGCTTGTGCTTTTCGTAATTGGGAGTCTCCAAGTTTTGATTCAATTTATTAGAATGATTGCTACTATCTGCTTGATGAATGGAATGTGAAGATTATATAAAACAGTAGGATTTTCAGTTTGTATGCCCGTCCAGTAACTGAGTTTTTACAGGTTTCATGATACAGTAATTGTGCAAATGTGTTATACTTTCTAATTACTTTTGCAGTGCCATTTAATTGTTAAATTTTCTATTGGGCATGCTTCTCAGATCCAAGGCATGGAGAACTCCAAGGAGTTTGCTGACAAGCTGTTCGGGATATGTCGAGGCAGAGGAACATTGAGCCGGATGAAGGCATTAACAAGGATCGGCTCAGAGAGGTCTAGACGGAGATTACTGACCACATCTTGGACTAAGCTATGTTCAGTTTAAGTAAATCTAACATACTGATAAAAAAATTCCTTTGGGTGTCTCACATTAACAGGTGGAACATGAACATTGATGGGATGCTCACAGAAGATGAGGTCAAGAAGGTGGCTACGCAAATGATCACAGAGAAGACTACTGCTGGTTCGTCTTCCCCGCCCTTTAAATATGTTCACGTCTGCACATCAATCTATCGATATTGTTTGGGATATTTTTCCAGGGCCTTTTGATCGACCATGCCATTCAAAAAGCTCTTTAGTGCAGTTTGCAAAAACAAAAATCAGAGGATTGGTCGTTTGTAAGGGTGGATATCTCAGAGGTGGCTGCCACCCGGATTGGAATTTAATTCAATCTATTTCCCTTTCTGAAGTTTCATACTAGATGTATGTTCCTGTGATATGATTTGTTTATGGAGATGGAGAGATGTGACTTTCAGAGTGACATAAATTCAGAGTCCTTCTATTGAAATCTAGAGGATCGGTTGCATTTTTGTTGAGGTACTAGAAGAACTTTGTTTTGTGTTAACAATGGTGTCCTTTTGTGCATTGATATTCCCTGAGTGCCCACTGCTATGTTGTAGTTCCTTTTCCAACCAAGTTATTGTTGTATTCATTTTGATAGAACCGATACCAAGTGTACACACTTTGCGATTAAACCAAAGACACCAAAGCGCTAAGAGCGCACTGAATTGTTGGACCGAAAAATATATACATAATTCATCTGTCAAGCATCGGAAACTAACCCACTATGACAGTCACATGAATAGATACAAAAATTGCCAAGCAATCTGCAAAGTATATACAAACTGATCTGTATGAATACCACAAAAAAAGGTTGTGCCTGCGTGAGGACTGCATTCGCAGTGTGGGCAAAGAATCGATTATGGAATCTGTGCAGTTCTTGCGAGGTATTCTGAAGAATTTAAATCAGCGGCAATGAGTGGCGATCATGAAGCAGGAAAAGGTGTGGGTGCAATTGTGGTACAGCAGTCCCGCTGCCCCACCACGCAGCACTTGCATTGGACAGAGCCGGCCTTGAGATCAATCAAACTAAATTCTGTAGCCTCGTACTTGGAGCAAAAGGGTAAATATTCTGCAGATGCCGTCGCAAGGGACGGCAGAGGGCATGTTGTTATTTCTATCTAAATGTTGTGTAGTTCTTGCGAGGTATTCTGAATATTCTGCAGGTGCTGTCGCAGGTGTTGAGGAGGCCGAAGCAAAAGCAGCCCTCATTGGGTTGCATGCTCTCAAGGATCTACAGGGCCCCGTGATTTTGGAATTTGACTGCCAAATTCGGATTAAGGAACTGATGACAGGGAAGCAGTCCCTCTCCCCCTGCTATGGACTGCTAAGAGACATCAAGCAAGCACTAACAAACTTTTCGGATCATAGTATCAGTAGCGTGGGGAGATTGTGCAATGCCCTTGCTGATGAGCTTGCAGCGTTGGCCAAGAATTCAGAACACCAGGAGAGGATTGCGGACGTACCGGACTGCCTCCGCCCGCTTATGATCTCTGAATTTATGGTTTCAGCAGAGCAGCTTTACTACTCTGAATCTCAAAAAGAAAAAGGTTGTGCCTCTCCCTCGGATAATCATGGCAATTTCAAGGGGTAAAACTAAGGGAGAATTACCGGTAGGGGATAGAGCCAACGGCGGCCGCGTTGGAGCCCACGGCGTTCACCACGACCATCGAACGCGGAGACGGTGCCCCCGCCGGCCTCAAAGTTATCGTCACCGTCTGCTTCCTCGCCCTCGAAGAGGCTCCATGATGCTGGACCCCCGCCACCCCTGCGTAAGCCACCGGCAACCGAAGCCAACAGGACCTCGCGTGAGATGAGCTCCTCCCGTGGTCTTGCGCCGCCGTCGGCCCGCGAGTCACCGGCCACCTCGCTGGAGATGAGCACCGCCGCGGATCCGGCCGGAACGGGACCGGATTGAGCACCAGCGCCCGGATCAATGAGTCCCTGCGTCCGTCGTCGTCCGTCGCGCCGCACCCAGCTCGTCGGAGCCCCGAGCCCCGCGCTGCACCTCTCCTGCATCCCCAGCCTGCACTTATCCCGGTGCTCGAGGCCGCCACCATTGGGGCCGCTCCTCTTACTTGAGCGTCCTTCGCCATGTACCTATCGTCCTCCTCCAGCCGAGGCTGTTGCAGGACCAGCGGCGATCTTCGTCGCGCGGCAACTGCCGATGCATGCAACAAATGCGGTGGTCGATGGTCGGAGTCGCACGGTTGCGGCAGGAGCTCATCGACGCGCGCGGCGGATGCGCCGGGGGAAGGGAGGGGAGACCGGGAGCGAGAGAGGTTGAGTGAGTGGAGAGGAGAGGAGAGACCGAGAGAGTACTGGGGGATAAGGTAGCGTTCCATTTGGTGCCGAATGAAACAAACTTTTGTTTTCTGAGAATTTCTTTTTTTAGGTGTTATAGATTGGGGGCTGGTAGGGCCGTGCTGGATAGCTAATTTGGGCCTTGGATCAGCAACGTTTGCTCTACGACAAAATATAGATAATTAAAGTATATATATACCTCACAAAAAATTTAAAAAATATATATAATTATACATTAAACATGGTTCATACAAATAAATATTTTTATACTTACTATATATATTGAGAGTATCACAAAAATATTGAGAGAAGAAACCGAATATACTTGGTTTATGTTGGTTTGCTTGCATGTTTTTATCTTTTGTTGGACAATTTTCCATAGCGTATATAAATAATTTAAAATGATTTAAGAAAGTTTAGATGACTACTTATTTATATATGAACATTATTGTTGGTTGTTTTCCCCAAGAGAAATGCAACATCTTTTTTTAATAATATGAAAAAGGTTTTCTTTTTTACAACATAAAACAGTTGTGTTAGTTTCACTTTTATTTTTATTATACATTATATATTTTTATTTATATGATGCAGTAGAAAATTTTATTTATATTTCATCGGAGATAGAAAGTGATACATGATAATACAAAAAGGTGTATTTTTTTCAGAATATAGAAGAGATAGATATGTATTTTGGAGATGCACAAAAAAAATCCATCGATAAAGGTTCCGAAGCGACACCGTTGAAAAGGGCCAAAAATTCACAAGTTTTTACAACATAATGATGTGAAAGCGGTGATATCACATAACAAACCAAAAAAAAGGATGCCAATTTCAATGTTATCGTACAAGGTATTTTTTAATATTATTATTGATCTTTCCTTTGTCATATTTTCTTTTATATTCAACTAATTTGACTCATTTTGTTTACTAATTTGGCTCATTTTTGTATCATGTCGATATACTATGTTTGTATCCCTAGAGATATTACGCTCATCAAAATAATCATGTCTGCCCCCAAGAAAACCAAGTTCGTGGACATTGCAAGTGAAGTGGATTTCAATTATTAATTAATTGTGTCCGTGTTATATTGTCTGTATGTGTAAAATTTAACATGCATTATCTTTATATAACTCTTACAAAATATTTTAAGAGCCCGTGTCAACGCACGGGCATTCGACTAGTAGTACTAGACTCCCATGTGAGGAGGAATCAACAAATAAACAGGATTGAGATGGACTCTTGATTAATTAGATCAAGATGGATTATTACTAGTAGTACTCGACTCCAAGGAATCAACAGGTACTACCACCAGTTGATGCACATCGAGGAGTGATTAGATCCGCGTGTGTGTGCGTCTCTTTGACCACCACCCATGAAAACATGAAGACACCGGACATCAGAAGCCGCCTAATAGATTGGAACGGCAGAGTAGGGAAGATCAACACGAACTGTAAACAAAAACTCCATGCAAACCAACAGGAATTTTTTCAAAGGATGCGTCAAGGTTGACGCATCAGGATCATAGATAGAGAAAGTGGCCAGAAGAAAAGGCCATTGTTGTTAGTACAACCCTACGGGTGCTAGAGCCCTAAAGAATCCACATGCGGATTACTCGCTCTCGTCCCTCCTATCTACCATACAAATGACTGAGCCACGTTCACGCAGCAGGCCAGCCGCTCTCCAATCCTGAGACTCTAACTCGATCTTAACAAGAAGGTCGTCCACAGATGGTGACGCGCCATTGAAAACAATGTCGTTTCGGTGCTTCCATAGCATCCATAACACCAGGGTTATCACCGTCCACGCCTCCTTCCTGAATTGATTTTGGGGGTTGAGAGTAGTCCACCATTCGACAAGCTTTGAATCTGCGGACGGCGTCCAGTCCGGCCTACTCCATGTGTTCATGACCTTGGTCCATACCTGCCTTGCTAGAACACATCCGAGAAGCAAATGGTCCAAGGTCTCAGGCAGCTGATCACAGAATGGGCATGCCGATGGGTGCGGCAACTGCCGTCGCTGAAGTCTATCTGCTGTCCAACATCGGTTCCGTGTCGCGAGCCACGTGAAAAACTTGCAAGCAGGGGGGGCCCTGCATCTCCATACCTGCACTGCTCCCGCGCTCTCTATGCGGCCCGCAAAGTGGGCGCGATATGCCGACCGCGCAGAAAATGTTCCTGAGCTCTCCCAAGTCCAGGCAATGGCATCCTCAATGCCCGGTCGCAGTTCAACATGTTGGGTTAGGTCCACCAGCGCCATGAACTCGAACAAGGCCTGCGTTCCCATGTCCGGGGACATATCTTGCCACCATCCAGCGGTGAGGGCCTGCTTGACTGTGATCTGCCGCCCACGCTTCTTTACCATAGCATAGAGGTGTGGCATGGTGTCCTCGATGCGGCCATCAGAGAGCCACCAATCTGTCCAAAATCGGGCCATCTCCCCATCTCCAAGCGTGCACCTTGTCGCTGCCTTGTATATTCCCATCGATTCATCGGATACTTGTATGTTAAACTCACTCCACGGCCTGGTGGAGTCGGTCCTCTGTAACCATGGCCATCGTGCCCTAAGTGCAGAGTTCAGGTAGCGCAAGTTCGGAACACCGAGGCCGCCATGCTCCTTGGGCGAGCAAACCTAGTTCCATGCAACGATGCAGTGTCCTCCATTCACCTCGCGTCGCCCTTTCCATAGGAAACCACGGCAAATCTTGTTCGCGGCAGTAATAGTTTTGATTGGCAGGTCAAGTGCCATCATCGTGTGAATTGGCATGGACATCAAGGTAGATCTAAGCAGCTCGAGTCGTCCAGCCCGATAAAGCAGTCTCGCCTGCCAAGCAGGTAGCTTGTCAGCCATCTTGTCAACCATGTATTGGAGCTGAGCTGCCGTGATCTTACGTAGCCCCAAAGGCAGCCCAAGGTATTTACACGGCCAGCCCAACACCTGGCACTCCATCTCAGCTGCGATCAACTGCTTCTGCTCATCGGAGCATCTTATTGGGTGGGCGGAGCACTTTGTCAGGTTACTGCTGAGACCGGATGCAACACCAAAGTCATACAGCAATGCAGCACACGCCCTGAGACTTTGCACATCCGGCTTAATGAACGTGATCACGTCATCCGCATAGATGGAGGTGCACTTCCGAACGCCGGTGGTCGCAAGAGGCGTCAGAATCCCTGCCGCCATGGCCTTGTAGAACATACGTTGCAGCCCCTCCATGACAAGGACAAACAAGAGGGGGGAGACCGGATCTCCTTGCCGCAAACCTTGTCGATTGTAAATGACCTCTCTCGGAACGCCATTGAGTAGCACTCTAGTGGAGGACGAAGCTAGGAGGCCAGAGATCCATGCCATCCATTTATTGCCGAATCCCATGTGTCGGAGGATCTCTAGAAGGAATGCCCAGTGCACGGTGTCGAAGGCTTTTGTAATGTCAAGCTTAAGCATCACGGCCTCTCGCCTCGCCGCGTGAAGCTTTCTGGCCAACCCTTGCACCATCATGTAATTATCATGCAACCATCTTCCTTGAATAAAAGCACCTTGGTGCGTTCCGACCAACTCTGGGACGTCCGGGGCGACACGTGTTGCCAACACCTTGGCAACAAGTTTCGGGAAACTATGGATCAAGCTGATGGGGCGAAACTCGCGGATCTCCATGGCTGCAGGCGTTTTGGGCAGGAGAGTAATAAGAGCCTGGTTAATGGACGTGAGGCCGCGGAAATCCATCCTGCCAAAAGTCTGGAAGGCCGCCATGACATCATCTTTTATGATCTGCCAGCATCTCAAGTAAAACCGTGCTGGAAAGCCATCAGGCCCTGGCGCCTTGTCAAGCTCCTGAGCACGAATGGCTGTCCAGATCTCCTCCTCAGTGAACTCAATTTCAAGGTGACTCATGTCCTTGCGGGGCAGCCCTAGCTCATCCAAATCGAGTGTGAACTCCCGGTCTGTGGTGTCTCCAAGCAGGTTAGAGAAGAAAGAATCGACAGCCTCTCCCATAGACTCATGGTCAGTCGTAACCACGCCATCCACTTTGAGCTTGGTAATGAAATTCTTGCGCCTCCTATTGCTTGCATGCGCATGGAAGAACTGTGTGCACGCGTCCCCTTCCCGCAAGAAAAGAATCCGGGATCTCTGGCGGGCAATCGTCCGTTCGAGGGAGGCCAGCCCAAGCAACTTGCCTTTTAGCAACCTCCGCAGCCCGATTTCATCATGAGATAAAGCACGGCTCTCCATGGCGACATCTAACCGAAGAATGACCTCATTCGCAATGCGAATTTGCTGCTTGACACTTCCCACATA